GTCACATGGTATGGAATGTCCCTTTGGCCAGTTTGGGTCAGCTGTCCTGGCTGTGCCCCCTCCCAGCTTCTTGTGCACCTCCAGCCTTCTCAGTCGGTAGAGCATGGGAAGCTGGAAAGTCCTTGACTAGTGTAAGCACTACTTAGCAACAACTAAAACATCGGTGTGTGATCAACATTGTTCTCATCCTAAATCCAAAACACAGCACTGTACCAGCTACTAGGAAAGAAATTAACTCTATCCCTGCCGAAACCAGGACACATATGTTTGGTTTGATGTGCACTTGCAATTTAAACTTAAGAACATGACAGACATCTATTTGCAAAAAGTATGTTTACTTGGTTATTAGGAAATGTTATTTCTGCAACAAATTTAGATACTTAGCAAACTGCATAAGATTGATTAGTCAAACACATTAAAAGGAATATAAATTTTATTCATTCTATGTCAGCTTTACTTCTTTTCAAGTAGATCTGGCCTTTTTGTATCCTTAACTTTGTCTTTAAGCCTCTGTAAAGCCCAAATTGACAATAGATTTGCTTATGCATTTTTTAAGTTTAATTTTAAAAACAATGTGAAAACTGCTGTGTCTGTATATTTATGCTTGATATGATGTCTGCTTTGTGACTTGGAAACTCACAAATTTATGATTAACCAGGTTGTTGGAGGAAAAATGACAGAATTAGGACGACTTGGTGCCTTCATTACCAAAGTGAAGAAAGGTAGCTTGGCTGATGTGGTGGGGCATCTCAGAGCAGGTAAATGAATCAGTTGCATACAAAATCTTTTAACTTTTAATTATGGCTTTTTGTAATGCAGCTGTTAATATTTTTATATATGTTATATAGGTCATGTGATATGCTAATATTTTTAAATACAGGACAATACTGTAAAGTTATTATGGTGCCACAGTTTTGCCTACATTTCACTCCAATTGCTTGGCTGTATGAGCAAAATACAAGACACTCCTCATCAGTGCTGGTGTCAGCACTGAGGAGCACTGGTAAATTTTTGCTTGCTAGCTCAGGAGCTGCTTGTTACACTCTATAGAAGCAATGCAAACATTTTTTAAAAGTGTTTCATTGTGGCAAACAAAACTCACTACAGTTACTTTACTTGCACTATAGTGTCACCTGAAGGATGTTGCACTGTGTACACAATGGACTTTATTAGTGCTTCTTTCAATGTGAATTGTTACAAATAAAAATGGAAAACAACCCAAGAAAATGATCTTAAAATATTTAATTTATATAAGATGTATATTCTGCACTTACAAATAAGTGGCTGTGCTGTTGGCACTTTTCAAGCTTCTAAATGAAGCGAGAACTATGCACAGCAGTTGGTTTTCAAAATAACTTCTTAGTGGTTTATATTTTTACCATGGCCCTAAGCAACTACTTTCCAAGTGTTGTCTTAGCAAACCAAAGTCTATGCAATGCCTTCTTAGGATTCCAGAAGCTCCGATGACAACTTGTATGAATTTAGGATAATTGCATGAAGCAAACAGTAAAAAAGAAGTAGAAAAGATGGAGTCTCTAAAAATATCCTACTTTGTAATGGCATTTGTTAATATTTTTTTTTACGAACTCAATATACATGGGGTTGATAGCACCAATTATTATGCTGTTTATAGATTTTAACTGCAGATTATAATTACAGAAAATAAGTTTCTCTCCGCTAATCTTGAACTATTTGGGCTGAAATATTACATTTCTAATGTCTGGTCTAGGTTGTTTTAAGTCAAAGAGCTATTTTTAATTTCTAAAAATATTTTTAGAGCCAAAATAATTTCACAGAAAAAACACATTGTTTTGCACATGTTTTCAATGAATGAAAGTCTATTCATCCTATTGTATGGGACTAAAACACAAAAAAAAGGCGTGGATGAGTCCTTGCTGTTAGGAACACCTGCTTTTCTGTCTTTATGAAAAACCTCCAAAATTTGGCTAGTTGATAAATCTTTGAGTAGTTGTACAAACCTCATAAATTTTAACAAAGGCAAATATGAAGTCTTGCATCAGGAACAGAATAACCCAGTGCAACAGTAAGCACTAGGAGCCAATCAGCTAGAAAGCAGCTTGGCAGAAAAGTGTCTGGAGGTGCTGGAGGACAGTAAGTTGAACATGAGCCAGCAAAGCGCCCTTGCAGCGAACGCCAATCATGTACAGGGCTGTATTAGCAGGATTGTCGCCAGCAGGTTAAGGGAGGTGGTTGTTGCTCTCTGTTCAGTACTTATGAGGCTGTCTCTGGAGTACTGTGTCCAGTTTGGGTTCCTCTAGTACAAGAGAGATGCTGACGAACTGGACCAGGTTGGGCAGAGGGACAGAAAGTTGATTAGGGGTCTAGAGCATGTGGCATACAAGAAGCTGAGAGAACTGGGTTTGTTCAGACTGGCAAAGACTATCGGAGGGTCTAATTCTTGTTTTTACCTGGCTAATGGGAGGCTGTAGAGAACCCAGAGCCGGGCTGTTCTCAGAGGTGCGCACTGATCACACAAGAAGCAACGTGCACAAGCTGGAATGAGGGAGATCCTGTTTGTGAAAATCTTTTGTATTGTATCTGGAGAGGATAGTTAAGTCTTGGAACAGGTTGCCCACTCCAATTGCTTGGCTGTATGAGCAAAATACAAGACACTCCTCATCAGTGCTGGTGTCAGCACTGAGTATCACTGGTAAATTTTTGCTTGCTAGCTCAGGAGCTGCTTGTTACACTCTATAGAAGCAATGCAAACATTTTTTAAAAGTGTTTCATTGTGGCAAACAAAACTCACTACAGTTACTTTACTTGCACTATAGTGTCACCTGAAGGATGTTGCACTGTGTACACAATGGACTTTATTAGTGCTTCTTTCAATGTGAATTGTTACAAATAAAAATGGAAAACAACCCAAGAAAATGATCTTAAAATATTTAATTTATATAAGATGTATATTCTGCACTTACAAATAAGTGGCTGTGCTGTTGGCACTTTTCAAGCTTCTAAATGAAGCGAGAACTATGCACAGCAGTTGGTTTTCAAAATAACTTCTTAGTGGTTTATATTTTTACCATGGCCCTAAGCAACTACTTTCCAAGTGTTGTCTTAGCAAACCAAAGTCTATGCAATGCCTTCTTAGGATTCCAGAAGCTCCGATGACAACTTGTATGAATTTAGGATAATTGCATGAAGCAAACAGTAATAAAGAAGTAGAAAAGATGGAGTCTCTAAAAATATCCTACTTTGTTATGGCATTTGTTAATATTTTTTTTTACGAACTCAATATACATGGGGTTGATAGCACCAATTATTATGCTGTTTATAGATTTTAACTGCAGATTATAATTACAGAAAATAAGTTTCTCTCAGCTAATCTTGAACTATTTGGGCTGAAATATTACATTTCTAATGTCTGGTCTAGGTTGTTTTTTAAGTCAAAGCTATTTTTAATTTCTAAAAATATTTTTAGAGCCAAAATAATTTCACAGAAAAAACACATTGTTTTGCACATGTTTTCAATGAATGAAAGTCTATTCATCCTATTGTATGGGACTAAAACACAAAAAAAAGGCGTGGATGAGTCCTTGCTGTTAGGAAAACCTGCTTTTCTGTCTTTATGAAAAACCTCCAAAATTTGGCTAGTTGATAAATCTTTGAGTAGTTGTACAAACCTCATAAATTTTAACAAAGGCAAATATGAAGTCTTGCATCAGGAACAGAATAACCCAGTGCAACAGTAAGCACTAGGAGCCAATCAGCTAGAAAGCAGCTTGGCAGAAAAGTGTCTGGAGGTGCTGGAGGACAGTAAGTTGAACATGAGCCAGCAAAGCGCCCTTGCAGCGAACGCCAATCATGTACAGGGCTGTATTAGCAGGATTGTCGCCAGCAGGTTAAGGGAGGTGGTTGTTGCTCTCTGTTCAGTACTTATGAGGCTGTCTCTGGAGTACTGTGTCCAGTTTGGGTTCCTCTAGTACAAGAGAGATGCTGACGAACTGGACCAGGTTGGGCAGAGGGACAGAAAGTTGATTAGGGGTCTAGAGCATGTGGCATACAAGAAGCTGAGAGAACTGGGTTTGTTCAGACTGGCAAAGACTATCGGAGGGTCTAATTCTTGTTTTTACCTGGCTAATGGGAGGCTGTAGAGAACCCAGAGCCGGGCTGTTCTCAGAGGTGCGCACTGATCACACAAGAAGCAACGTGCACAAGCTGGAATGAGGGAGATCCTGTTTGTGAAAATCTTTTGTATTGTATCTGGAGAGGATAGTTAAGTCTTGGAACAGGTTGCCCAGAGGAGATGTTGCATATCCTTCGTTTGAGATACCCAAATCTCATCTGGTCAAATCCCTGAGCAACCTGGTCTATCCTTGATGTTGGCCCTACTTTGAGGAGGGGTTGGAACTAGCTGACCCCCAGAGGTATCTCCCAATTCAAATTACTATTTTAGAAATGAATATAAAAAAATTCAGAGATTTGCAGCATAAGTCTGAAAACTTTCTATCTCTGCTGAACATCAGTAAGTGGGGGTAGAATGCAAGATGCATTAGTATTCCTTTCTAGAGGCATCTGAGATATCCTGGGATATATGCCTCACCAGCAGAAGTGGCTCCATAAGGGTGCAGGTGTCCTGTAGGTTCTGCCAGCCAGCTTTGTGCAGGTATCTTGGTTATCCTAAACATCTACAGCATAAGGTGTCTAACAGCTCCTTGACTGACTGGCTTGCAACTCTGGGCTACTACAGTGGGACTTAAGACCAGGAGTTCATCTCACCTCAATTTGTAGCAGTGTATCACAGGATCATAGAATGGTTGAGGTGGGTAGGGACCTCTTAAGATCTCTAGTCCAAACCCACTGCTTAAACAGGGTCAGCTAGAGCAGGTTGCACAGGACCGTGTCCAGTTGGGTTTTGCATATGTCCAAGTTTTGAGTATCTGGATGGTGTTTTCCCATTTCCATGCCTGCTACTGAGAGCAGAAATCAGAATGTAAGCCTTACAGACAGCATCTTAGATGAAAGAGACAATGTAAAAGGGCTTGGCTGATCAAAAAGGTCAAGAACTGGACAGGCTGGGCAAGAGATGGATAGTGGTGATCTGGTTAGAACTAGCAGAAGTGCCATTTCACTCAAATCTCCATTTGGATCTAGTTTTCAGTAAGAATAGTTGGAGCCACTTGTGTTAATTTAGCATTCTGACTATTGTTTGATCTCCTAGTGACTCTCAAAAAGCTGCTTAAGTCCTCTAAAATAGTGATACAGACACCTTGCATGTTCCTCTTCAGGATTCTCAACGATGTTGCATCTATTTTGCCTTCTTCAAATACAATAGATTCATTGCTGTGTAAATTAGGTTTAAATCGTGATTTTTAGTGTTACAAATTTAGCATATGTCACTGTCGGTTTTTGCTATTAAGTTATAACTATTGCAAAGCTGGCTACATCTTGTTCCTTTTAATGCCTGGGATGCTTTTGTAAGTTAAGCCAATTATGTCTAAAGAAATCAGATTTTATTTTAGGGAAAAACAACATGTTAGTTTGTAACAGTTGTTAGCTCTAAAATACAGTCAGAATTACAGAATAAACTGAGTGTGTTTTCACTGAGTTGTATAAATTTTAAATGAAGTTCCTAGGCAATATCTAATTCCTGTTCCACCCCGACATAAGATTATGTAATAAATATACGAAATATTTAAAACCATTTCAGCTAAACAACGTGGTAGAAAATTAAACTTATGTCAGCAGGCTTTTATTAAGTCTGTCATTAGCAAGCCCTTATGTTTTAAAGACTGCTAAAATGCTTTGAAAGCCAGTGGAGTACTCTGTGGAGTCCTTTCTTAAAATACCAGAATATAGGCTGTTTGGGAAAAAGGACCGACAATCGTTGAACATAAAGTGAAATTGAAGCCATGTGTTTTGGTAGACAGGACTTCAGTTAGGATAGTTTTCCTTGGCTTATTAACAAGCACAGGTTTGATCATTTGGCTTAGTTCTTCTCAGAAAGGAGAAAAGCCAGCAGCTGAAGGGTTGTTCCTGACTGAACCTGATTAACAAGAAATCATTGTCAATAAAGAAAGATAAAATCATTGTCAATAAAGAAAGTTATTTGTGGCATGAGATAGTGGTTGTGAAGTTTTGACTGCTGCATATGATGGGGTATGAGAGTGTAAACTTACCCTATGGTTCCTACAGTTTAATTATATATACTGATCTTTAGAAACTATACTTCAAGATTTTCACCTTTTTATAATAATGCCAAAGTACAATGCACGGTACATACTATTTAAATTCCAGAAATGGCAAGCCGCAAAAAGAAAGTTATCTAAATAACTTCCACATCATGTTTTCCTTTCTGTCCCCCAAATATCCTCAGGAGATAGTGACTCATTCCTTGCTTTTATTTTTGGTTCGTTTGACACAGACAGTGAAGACTGCCCTTTTTGTAGAGAAATCGAAATGCACAGTATATAAATTGTAATGAATTGTCATGATTTTTAAAGGCTTAACGGTAGGTATTTATATTTTTCAGTTTTGAAGATTAACCTGTTTTCAAACTTTATTGTCGCTAGTTAATAAAGGATCTTTTAGAAAGACTCTTTCATTTCATAGCACAATAACATGTTCTGTATTATTTTGGAAATACTTCAAATGTTTGCACAAGTGGTTTCTTTAATATGTTTTGTGCGTACAAATTGTAGCCTTGATAGTGTCTCAAAAACCTGTTTTGGATTTCAGCACAGCTTTTTAATTGATTTTGGGCAATGTTACTTCGTTATATAGATTTCATAAACATTTTGCACTCCTTTCTAAAAGAATATGGAAATGAGATAAACTTCTCTTTAAATTCAAGGGGATGAAGTTCTAGAATGGAATGGTAAACCCTTGCCTGGAGCTACAAATGAAGAAGTTTACAACATTATTTTAGAATCAAAATCAGAACCTCAAGTTGAAATTATTGTTTCAAGGCCTATTGGGTAAGGCTAAAGACTTGCTTCTTAAGCACAATTATTACTTCTACTAATGGGACTTTTAAAGGGACTATTTGTGAGTTTTGTTATTTTTAATCTCTTAATAATGGAATATGATTCCCTTTCTATTATTGACATTCTGTATATTCCATTTTCTTCACTGCCATTTACAATCTTGGATCTTTGCAGTGATACATAAAAGTATAAATGTTGTTTTCTGTATGATCAAAGTACTAACAAGGTTTTTGCCAAGTGGCAAAGGAAAATTGATGGATCAAGTGGACCTGTGCATGAGAAAAATCTGTTTTTCAGACTTTTAGCTTCATTAAATCAGAATAACTTATACGAGTATTGATGAGTAGAAGGAAGCATCGGTGAACATTGAGCATTGCTCGGTGAACAGTGAGCATTGCAGGATTTTAATGTCAATGCTAGTAGTATTTTAAACAGGCCTTCTTTAAAGAGCTAAAAAAAGGAAAACCAAAACTCTTAGTTGAAAAGAATGTATTTAGCCTTAAATGATACTGTCATCAATATCAAAAGTGGGAACAAAAATACCTTCATATTTATGAAGGTAATTTGTTTCATCAAAATTTAGCATTAATGTGTTATGTTTATAATCTTAATTTTTATTTTTTATAAATCCAGGTTTGGGGTTTTGTGGTAACAATTCTTATATTCCTGATTTCCCGAATAGGCCTTAGAAAGGTCGTAAAATCTGTTCGAATTGATAAGATTAGTGGCGTCGGCCCTGCATTTGTCACAATTGTTTTAGTGATATTCTGCACTCCTTCCCTGAACACGACTCTATTGGGACCATTTTGAACTAAGTCTTACAGGATTGAATATGAATCATATATTGTAAATTCACATTTATATTGTGGAACAGAGTCACATGATTAACAACAAAAACTGATTCTTGGCTAGTTTAAAAAAAAAAAAAGTAAAAGGACTTAAATCTCTCTGTAGTCTGTCACCTTCCCAGAGTTCATGTGCACTCACTATAAGTCTCTCAATACCACTATCCTGTAGGTAGATGGTAAACTGTTTCTTCCTTATGAATGCGTGATTATTTCAGTTTGAATTTGCTAGATTTCATCCTAATTATAATTTTTCTCTGTCTCAAATATGATAAGTTTTCAGTTTTAGAAACAAAAAACTATTAATTTTCTTTCTGACTAAAACATTCTTCTTTTACATTTATTTCACGTCAGCTTTTGATGTTTGTTTTTTTCTGTACTATGCAACTGTAGTTATATTTTGCAAATGAGTTCTGCCTTTTTAATGGCAATCACTATTAAAAGTACTTAAATAAAATTAACATTTGTTGCTAATTCCAGTTATGAGTTTGACCTTCTAATGGAAAACGAAAGCTTGATGCAATAATAGTGGTTGTTAAAAGCTAAAATTACTATCCAGTTGGAGACTGTGGGGGAGTAGAAACCTTATTTTACATTCTTTAGTCGGATAAATTAGGAGACATTCCTGACTGAAAATTGCAAATTCAGACCTACGACTTTGTAATTAAAAATAAAATGCCATAAGGAGAATTTTGGAAGTCTAGTTATTATGTTTAAATCGGCAGAAAAGAAATATGTTCATACTGGACCTGACTTGAACTCCATGTTTCAGTTGAAGAAAACCTTGATTGTACAAGCAAAATTGATTTGTACAACTGATGTAAAAGGAAAGTGCTAGATTAGTATTTTAAATAATGAGCTTTAGATATATTTATTGCTATCAGTATATTTGCAAATGTTGTGTATCCTTAAGCTTTTAAGATAACCTCATTATTATACCAATCAAATTATTTTAGTTTATGAATTTGATAAATCTAATAGCTTCAAAAGATGAAGTACAAGGTGACCACATTCCAGTGACATATTCTTGAATAAAAATCAAGAGAAAATACCACAACTGTTGAACTGAGGCATGGAATGTGAAGTGCTTTCAAAAAGAATGTTTCTGAATCTGAGCAGTGAATTTTACACTAAAAAGGTGCACCCAGAAATAGTACCAATAAAATGTATAGTTTTGCTTTGGATGACCCGTACATATTTTTTTCCAGACATAGGCAAAAATAGAGCACATCAGATTGTGCTTTTATTTTGAGATAAATGGAGTCTTGGCATGGAGGTTTTTACATGCTGTAACACCACTATTCTTGAAGAGTTGTGTCTTGATTGATTTTTTTTTTTTTTTTTTTAAGAAGAGCACAGAAATATCCCAAAGCGACTGGAGCATATAACTTTGAAATTTAAAGATAGTTCCTTTCCCTAGCAATAATGAGTTAATGTCCTGTTGTTTTGTATCAGATTGGGATTTACCTGTCTGTCATCTTAAAAGAACAAAAAATATCAGACATTGTACAATGATATGAGTTAACAAAAAAAGAGCATACTGCACAGGATTTTCTTTTTCTTTCTTTTTTTTTAATAATTATAATCTATGTAAACTGTGTTACATAATGGGAAATGGTCTGCTTGCATTAACAGATTACTTTCTTTCCCCCCTAGCTTCTCCTTGTCTTGTTATCCAAACTGTGTAATTGTTTCAAACTTGTGACAGGGAATTTTATTTAATCCAACAAATCTAGTATATCAAAGTTTTGTGTCTACTTTAGGTGCTGACTCAGCAAAATCGAAGCTGCTTGATACAGCATTAAGTGGTAATCCATTACACCTAAAATTCCTGTGAGGAAACAGGTTCCCGAAAGACCTGAAAAGTGCTATTTCGTGTGCATAATTTAAGTGTTTTCATCTCAGTATTAATAATGCAAATAATGTTCCAGCACTTTTAATGGTCTCTCTTTAAAAAGTCCTAGCATATTAGGTCTAAAAAGCCCAAATATGACATAGTTTGGCTTGAGTGAATAATGGGAGGACTGTAAGCCCACAAATTAGATGACTGCCAGTTACAAAATTGATGTCTAAACAATTTGCTCAGTCTTGTAAATTTGGATTTGTGTGTGTAACAGCAAATGTAATTTTGAGTAATGGATAATTGTAGGATGTTTATTAGAGAAAAATGTGAAACGTAACACTATTAGCAGATGAAGGCATAACAACAATAAACAGTATAACCACAATAGTACCTTAAAAACTCCATAGAAACTAATTGATGCTAATGATTGCAACACAAGGTAGATAAGAAACCTATAAAAAGTAGAATTAATGGGTTGGCTACGAGGGGAAGAATTACCTATGAATATGCATAGAACGTGAGAGGCGTTTAACATAGGACAGCATAGAAAATCCTCCGGCAGTATGCTTTTTGGAGAAGGAACCTGGCATGGTAACTAACTCACCGTCTCTTGCGTGCTTGGGTGAGCTCTATGGGATAGTGCAGGTAAAACAAATGTTTTTTCATTTGTCTGTTTTCTTTGTCAGATGCTAGCTATCTTTGGTTGGATTTCCACAGCTAATATTGCCAAAATTGTTGTTTCTCTGGTGTGATTCAGCTCCTCTGTTCAGGGACTGCTACTGTGCTCTAGGTCCTTGCAAGGAGGTTGAACCTCCATCATAAACCAGGCAGTACTGAATTACAGAGAGTCGCTCAGGTAATGTAATCAGTGCGAACTGCAGATTGATCTACAGGTTCTGATGGGAAGGAACGGTTTTGGAAATAGGAGGATGAGCGCTGGGGACAGGTACTCAGAAACTCTGAAAACTTAGGGTGTAGAGGACGATGCTTCTGTCCCTAGAGCAACCTAAAGAAGTGTGGTTTACAACCACATTTGAATTTGGTTTGTCTTCAGTGATCAAGCTCTTGACTATAGCCCTCAGAGAAATTATAGCTGTTCCTGTGTTTTATAAAATAATGATCCTCACAAACCATATATCTGCACAGAGTAGTCTCAACCTAAGGTATAGTTTGGTTTAATTTATGTATTTGTTGAGGTGTGGAAGGGTCAGACATAAGATAGTCATACGTTACATCACATAAGATCACACAAAACCTTTGCCTTTCAGGGTAGAGAGAGAAAGACAGAGCTCGATGTCAGCAGCTCTTTACTGGAATGTGTCTGACATTACTTTTCTGACATTCACATTGCTCTGAAAGCAGAGCAAAATTTTGTTCTTATTTTCAATAAGTGGCTCTGCTACTTCTTACTTTGTTATTACCATTTGCTTTCACTAGTCCAGTTTTGAATATTGTAAGTCATGAAGTTTCTACTATTTCTTCTGAAGAGCTTTTTTTGTAAATCATAGTGCTAGAATATTTCCTGCAATCCGTAAGAGCAGACTGGATAAGACTCATTTTCTTATCTCACAAGCTTCAGATTATAGTTTCTTTTTTCTGCTACTTCTTACTTTGTTATTACCATTTGCTTTCACTAGTCCAGTTTTGAATATTGTAAGTCATGAAGTTTCTACTATTTCTTCTGAAGAGCTTTTTTTGTAAATCATAGTGCTAGAATATTTCCTGCAATCCGTAAGAGCAGACTGGATAAGACTCATTTTCTTATCTCACAAGCTTCAGATTATAGTTTCTTTTTAGAATTTTCATTCTTCAATTAAAATGCCAATGTTTAAAAAAAATACCACTCATACCTTTGATAAAGTCCCTAGATATATAACAGCAGTTATTTCCTCGTGAGCATGTAATATTTAAGAAATGATTATATGGATTATTGAATTTGTAAGAAGTTTAAATATGGACAGAAGCATAGCTTTGAATTATTTCATGTCCATTTTGAAATCAATAGCAGAAAGCAGGACTGTTACAGAGCTTGTTAGGATACTCTGCCAGGAGTTTGGGGATCAGTACTGTATTGCATACTTAATTTATTGGTTTCTTTGCTTTTTGTGTCTTGCAGCAAGATAAATATATTAGGGAGGAGAAGATTTCCTAGCAATAATTTTATGTATATACATACACATACACACACATACATACACTTCATATATATATATATATATATTTAAGCTGTCCATTGTACTATAAAGTTTTAGAGATTTCCTGAGGGTGAACAAGCTCTAATATGGTGGGGATGAACGGGGTGGGTGGGAAAGCTGCCAAATAACATTTCTATTGCAAACCATGCATTTTGTCGGGAGTTGAAATTTATGTTTTAGCTTCCACTGTTCCTGCAGTTTTTCAAAAGAATTACAAGGGGTTTAGAAAAATACATTAATAAATTATACTTTCAGTTTTTTCCTGTCTGACAAGTAAAGTCTTAAGATATTATTTTTGTTGTCATTTACCTTTACCTGGCGAGGACTTTTGTATCGCCAACTCTAAGTGAGGAAGATACTATCAACTTGACCATTTTTTCACCCACCCAGGAATTATGAAACTTGACATAGTTGCACTTTCCATGTTGAAACACTCCTTGCACATACGAGCCCTTGTTTAGATATCCTAAATGGGATATTATTACAAACAATGCTGTACTGCAGACAAGAGTGTTCATATTCTAGCAGAAGAAAACATTGCAAACTTAATGTTGTATTGGACAGAAAAATCAGTTTGAATATGCTAAGTAAATATTTCAGACTGATGAGAATTGCACTGGAAACTGAAGGGAGAAAATGTTAAGAGGAAGAAGTCTGCACAGCAGCCCTGCTGTGCAAGACGTCGTTATCTGCTTATATTTTTGTGAAGTAGCACTATTCCATGTCAAGAATAAGTAATGCAGTTATATTTCTGTGAGTTTGAGAAAACCACATTACTCTTGAATTACAAAGTTGAAGCAAAGAGAAGCACGTTCTTGTGGAGTGATATGAGATGTAAGCTGATGTGAGAATTAACTGGGAGCTGAAATAGGCTTTTTTAAAACACATGCACCAGAAGTTTAAATTGCAGGACAAGAAAAACAAATTTAAGACTAATTGATTGGGCACTGTTACATTCCTTTTCTGACTTGTCTCTTTTTCATAAGTGACTTTTATGCACGCAGGAGTCTTAGTTTTATTGACTTCCAAGTCAGTAAGATAGTGTTTCACTGAACAGAGAAATGCCTGAATACCTTTAAATGCTCAGCCGTAGACTTAAAATCTTGTAAATGTTCTTCAGAAATGTTATTGTAGTTGCAATTTTGGGTTATTTTGTGTAGATGAAAATATTTTCATGTAATTCACTGAAGAGCTTTGTTTCCATTTTCCTGCTCTGCTGCTTTGCTAACATTTGTACAATAACAGTCGTTTCTTGCTCTCGCAATGTATTTTCAATGATTGGTGAGAACAGGAGAGAGTCAGGAGCTAGCATCATCCCGATTTTGATGGAAGAGTGAATTTGTTGATGGCAAAATTTTGATAGATGTGTGTAGACTTAACCAGTTTGATTTTGCTTATACCTGTATGTGTGCTGGATATATGTATGTTGAAAAATGTCCATACCTAATCGTAATATGGTTTGTTTTTTTTTTCTTAGCCTTTGAAGAAATGCATTACTCTTTTGTTTGTTTAACATTGCTAATGTTATTTGCTTTTTCTTTTTATTATTATAAGACATTTTCATCAGTTTCATTCCGTGAACTCCTTGCGACGTTTATATAAAAATTACTAGTGAGTTAATCTGTCTTATTTTTTGGACTTTTTTTCCTCCAAAAAATAGTTGAACATCTGTAGCTATACTACCTTTTGCCACCTTTCTCTTCCTAAAAGCTCTCTAACTTTATTCTTCTGGTTGTAAAAATATCATGGAATCCATCCACAATATTAACATTGTAGTGCTCATATTGTTGCGTCTGCTAGTTCCTTAACTTGAAAGAAGTAGCCTGCATTAGTAAGATTTTCATGAATGCTAGTGGAAAATATGTCTTTAAATATTTCCCCTTTCTTTCCTTGTAACCCATTAGAACAGAAACAGATCCATATTTCTAAAAAACTGTCCCAGAAACATATTTGTTACCGCAGAAGGTCGTCTCTGTTTTTTCTAATTACTATGTGTATATTCACGTTTTAGTGATATTCCACGGATTCCCGAGACTTCTCACCCCCCGTTAGAGTCTAGTGAGTACACGCCTCATTCCTTTCACTAAGCATGGTCTTGTAGCCAGCACAATCGTTTCGGCTATGAATTTTGTGAAAGATGAGCACTGGGAGACTGCATTGGCTCCGAGGTTTTTGTATGACAAACTTCAATGTGTTTTGGTCTTGTGTGTTAAATTTGAAACAATATAGATTTGATTAAAAGCCATACAAATTTCAAATGTTAGCAGGATTTTATTGTTTTCTTCTATATCGTGTGGTGTTAACACCATACTGGTATACATGCTGTGGCCCAAAACAGTCATTTACTTGCCCTAACGTAAGAGAGAAAACAGGTATAAGGGATTTCCAAAGGTACAAATGGTGTCAGGATTTCACCTCCTGCACCATCCAGCATAAGTCCAGAGTTCTTGTTTCTCTTTTTCTTAACAAGAAAACGTTGGTTAGGTGAACTTTTTGTGTATCATGCTTCAAAAGAATAGTTTTGTTTTTAACTATCCCATTTGAATGGTGTCAGCTAGAGTGTGTGAGAACATGGCTCCCAGTCCTTTCTCATCTAAGCCTTGTCTGAGGTGCAACCAGAAGTCTTCCCTGGGACAGGGTCCTGTGGGGCCACCGAGTAGTGTTATACCTGTCACAAGCTCATCTCATTAGTGAGGGCTCTGCTTCGCTGGTGGAGAATTGGTGATGTCCAGCAGGCACCGGAGCATCCTCCATGCCAGACACATGTCCTGCATACCTTCCTGTGTGCCAGTTCCTTGGGAGTTAAAATTTCAGAGGCTACCGAGAGTATAACCTGTACAACAGATGTGGGTTTATTCATCAAAGATTTGAGATCATAGAATCATAGAATAGTTTGGGTTTGAAGGGAGATGTGTAATTTTGTCAGAGGACAATATTTTATTTAAAACACTTGGTATGGTTTGTCACTGCTGTATGAGGAGCACTTTTTTATATGTTATTTCAAATAAAACAAAACATGGCAGGTTTAATCTGGGGTAAGGGTATCCAGACAGTCTTTTTCACCATGCTATCTACATCAGTTTAAAATCTGTCTGTATATTAATCCAGTTATACTGTGTATAAATACAAGCTTTATACAATTCAAAGAAAAAGCAATTCATAAGTTATCCAAATTCACTTCAAAATTTTGGATGGAAAGTTCATGTGTTTCTCATGTATTTTTAGGTTCAAGTTCTTTTGAATCGCAGAAGATGGAAAGGCCTGCTATTTCTGTTATATCTCCGACCAGCCCTGGAGCCCTACGGGATGCACCACAAGTCCTACCAGGGCAGCTTTCTGTAAGCATATTTTATTTTTCCTGAGTTGTTAACGCAAATCTATGAAGTGCTGGTCCCTCAGCCCTCCACGTTCCCAAGGTCTATTGGGAGGTCAGGAGAAACGTCTGCTGTTGGTAAAGACTAACATCTTTCAAATGTTTTTTAAGACCCCCTGTACACACTCACAAAGCATCACTGTAATCACAGCAGAGGTAAAGATTTGTTGTCTTAATACACCAAAGAGTGCAGGAATTTACATTGAGAGGAGCCCATAAAAGTGCCTTGTAACTTGTCATCCTGTACCCTCTGCATTGAAAATGGTCACTCTTCTGTACATGCCCAGTAATCTGCAGATAACAAGCATAGTACCACTTTATCTTCTTTATGGGAGCATTTAAAGAGCTGCGTATTTGTTAAGCGTTATACTGTTTCGTAATGCATTTTAATTTAGATACACACTACATACTGGAACTGTCTGTAATACTAATTGAAGCTGTGCTTATTAAATATACTGTGAGTACTTAGACTTTGTTTTGTACATTCTTATATTTTGATCATATTAATTTCTAAGTACACAGCAGGCTGAAAAATTTCACGATTCTCTTAAGAAATGATTTAGCTGTATATTAAACTTTTCATAAGAACATTTGCAAGGTGACAAATCAGAGTTGATAGATTTCAACTATGCCTCGAGTTTAGCTGCAGTCAGAGCTTCCTGTTTGAATGTCGCTTTTAAGATGCAGAGCTAAGACATATGCTGGTTTAAATGCACTCACAGATACAAGATTATATAGTGAGTACAATAAACAATGTAAGTATAATCAGGCACCACCATTTTATTCAGTTGTGGTAAATACAAAAGTCTTTGGTATATACCATCATCTTTTCCATCTAACTTAATTAAATATTAAGGGATTTGAAATAAAATATATCTCATTGTCTCTTGGAAAAAGCAATGGTTACTTTTACATTGTGTTTAATGTGATGCAGTCTGAAAGCTCTGGTTTTTCTCCATTTTCAGTAACGTTTTCTGGTAACTTGATTCTTGTAGGTTAAACTGTGGTACGACAAAGTGGGACATCAGTTAATAGTAAATGTTCTGCAAGCAACAGATTTGCCACCAAGAGTAGATGGACGCCCCAGGAATCCCTATGTAAAAATGTATTTTCTTCCAGACAGAAGGTAGTAGTTTTTCAGTTTAGAAAATTGTCTTGCAATTTACCATGTATTGAATCAACTTTTAAATGAATGCTTATCAAGTAAAGAATTCCTTTTAAAAATTTGTTATACATAGATTAATTTTAACAAAAAATTGCGCTTGAATCATGGAAGTCAGTATCGAATTAACTTTGTGGACTTTTTGATGAATGTGATGCACTGTACGGTAAATACTTTTCTCTTTTAGGCATTATCAGATCAGAAAGAATGAAAACAGTGAGTGCTGATGAGTAGATGGCATTTTGTGATTTATCTCTACAAACAATTTACAACAAATATTTATGTTTCAGTGATAAGAGTAGAAGGAGGACCAAAACAGTAAAGAAAAGTCTAGAGCCAAAATGGAACCAAACTTTTCTCTACTCACATGTACATCGTAGAGATTTTAGAGAACGAATGCTTGAAATAACCGTATGGGATCAGCCAAGAGTGCAAGAAGAAGAGAGTGAATTTCTTGGAGAGGTGATACATACAATCACATTTCTCCTGAGTTCGTTGTTTGGTTTTGAATCTGTACAACAGATGTGGGTTTATTCATCAAAGATTTGAGATCATAGAATCATAGAATAGTTTGGGTTTGAAGGGAGATGTGTAATTTTGTCAGAGGACAATATTTTATTTAAAACACTTGGTATGGTTTGTCACTGCTGTATGAGGAGCACTTTTTTATATGTTATTTCAAATAAAACAAAACATGGCAGGTTTAATCTGGGGTAAGGGTATCCAGACAGTCTTTTTCACCATGCTATCTACATCAGTTTAAAATCTGTCTGTATATTAATCCAGTTATACTGTGTATAAATACAAGCTTTATACAATTCAAAGAAAAAGCAATTCATAAGTTATCCAAATTCACTTCAAAATTTTGGATGGAAAGTTCATGTGTTTCTCATGTATTTTTAGGTTCAAGTTCTTTTGAATCGCAGAAGATGGAAAGGCCTGCTATTTCTGTTATATCTCCGACCAGCCCTGGAGCCCTACGGGATGCACCACAAGTCCTACCAGGGCAGCTTTCTGTAAGCATATTTTATTTTTCCTGAGTTGTTAACGCAAATCTATGAAGTGCTGGTCCCTCAGCCCTCCACGTTCCCAAGGTCTATTGGGAGGTCAGGAGAAACGTCTGCTGTTGGTAAAGACTAACATCTTTCAAATGTTTTTTAAGACCCCCTGTACACACTCACAAAGCATCACTGTAATCACAGCAGAGGTAAAGATTTGTTGTCTTAATACACCAAAGAGTGCAGGAATTTACATTGAGAGGAGCCCATAAAAGTGCCTTGTAACTTGTCATCCTGTACCCTCTGCATTGAAAATGGTCACTCTTCTGTACATGCCCAGTAATCTGCAGATAACAAGCATAGTACCACTTTATCTTCTTTATGGGAGCATTTAAAGAGCTGCGTATTTGTTAAGCGTTATACTGTTTCGTAATGCATTTTAATTTAGATACACACTACATACTGGAACTGTCTGTAATACTAATTGAAGCTGTGCTTATTAAATATACTGTGAGTACTTAGACTTTGTTTTGTACATTCTTATATTTTGATCATATTAATTTCTAAGTACACAGCAGGCTGAAAAATTTCACGATTCTCTTAAGAAATGATTTAGCTGTATATTATACTTTTCATAAGAACATTTGCAAGGTGACAAATCAGAGTTGATAGATTTCAACTATGCCTCGAGTTTAGCTGCAGTCAGAGCTTCCTGTTTGAATGTCGCTTTTAAGATGCAGAGCTAAGACATATGCTGGTTTAAATGCACTCACAGATACAAGATTATATAGTGAGTACAATAAACAATGTAAGTATAATCAGGCACCACCATTTTATTCAGTTGTGGTAAATACAAAAGTCTTTGGTATATACCATCATCTTTTCCATCTAACTTAATTAAATATTAAGGGATTTGAAATAAAATATATCTCATTGTCTCTTGGAAAAAGCAATGGTTACTTTTACATTGTGTTTAATGTGATGCAGTCTGAAAGTTCTGGTTTTTCTCCATTTTCAGTAACGTTTTCTGGTAACTTGATTCTTGTAGGTTAAACTGTGGTACGACAAAGTGGGACATCAGTTAATAGTAAATGTTCTGCAAGCAACAGATTTGCCACCAAGAGTAGATGGACGCCCCAGGAATCCCTATGTAAAAATGTATTTTCTTCCAGACAGAAGGTAGTAGTTTTTCAGTTTAGAAAATTGTCTTGCAATTTACCATGTATTGAATCAACTTTTAAATGAATGCTTATCAAGTAAAGAATTCCTTTTAAAAATTTGTTATACATAGATTAATTTTAACAAAAAATTGCGCTTGAATCATGGAAGTCAGTATCGAATTAACTTTGTGGACTTTTTGATGAATGTGATGCACTGTACGGTAAATACTTTTCTCTTTTAGGCATTATCAGATCAGAAAGAATGAAAACAGTGAGTGCTGATGAGTAGATGGCATTTTGTGATTTATCTCTACAAACAATTTACAACAAATATTTATGTTTCAGTGATAAGAGTAAAAGGAGGACCAAAACAGTAAAGAAAAGTCTAGAGCCAAAATGGAACCAAACTTTTCTCTACTCACATGTACATCGTAGAGATTTTAGAGAACGAATGCTTGAAATAACCGTATGGGATCAGCCAAGAGTGCAAGAAGAAGAGAGTGAATTTCTTGGAGAGGTGATACATACAATCACATTTCTCCTGAGTTCGTTGTTTGGTTTTGAATACATATGCATATATATTTTATATATGTGTTTGTGTGCGTGTGCCTTGAAAGTAAAATTAAAACCTGATAATTTTTCTACTAGATTCTTATAGAGCTGGAGACAGCACTTTTAGATGATGAACCACATTGGTATAAGCTACAGACACATGATGAATCTTCACTACCTCTGCCTCAGCCATCACCTTTCATGCCAAGAAGACATGTTCATGGTGGAGAAAGCACTAGCAAAAAATTACAAAGTAGGTCCAAATTCCATTCATCTCTTTTAAATTTTAAATTAGAAATGCCGGATATGGTGTAATGGTTTTTAACTTTCATATACAAGATAAAAATACTATTTCATAGTATTTAATCATAATGAAAATGTGTGGCAGAAAAGAGATGCAAATTATGATATTATGACATGACAGCCTTTCACCTGTGACGCATAACTTTTAAGTATGTGAAACCTGTTGGAATTGGTTTGGTTTTCACTAGCAAAAGAAAATTGTTCAAACATTTGTTTGCATAAATTCCCTTTTAAATAGAAAGATGAAGTTCATTGTTACGGGATACTTTTTAATAACTAAAAGCTTTTTATTTAAAAAAAAGTCCTTAAAGACTTATGAGGCTTAAAAACACTTTTCATCATAAAGTTAGTTTCAACCTCCAATACGCTTATTATACAATCAGATGAGAAGTGTACTTTTGCAGCAAAGAGAAATTGTATGAATGCATTTAGGAGGTACAGTTGTTTTGATAAGTCTTTTAGGTTTTACAATAAACAATGTAAGTATAATCAGGCACCACCATTTTATTCAGTTGTGGTAAATACAAAAGTCTTTGGTATATACCATCATCTTTTCCATCTAACTTAATTAAATATTAAGGGATTTGAAATAAAATATATCTCATTGTCTCTTGGAAAAAGCAATGGTTACTTTTACATTGTGTTTAATGTGATGCAGTCTGAAAGTTCTGGTTTTTCTCCATTTTCAGTAACGTTTTCTGGTAACTTGATTCTTGTAGGTTAAACTGTGGTACGACAAAGTGGGACATCAGTTAATAGTAAATGTTCTGCAAGCAACAGATTTGCCACCAAGAGTAGATGGACGCCCCAGGAATCCCTATGTAAAAATGTATTTTCTTCCAGACAGAAGGTAGTAGTTTTTCAGTTTAGAAAATTGTCTTGCAATTTACCATGTATTGAATCAACTTTTAAATGAATGCTTATCAAGTAAAGAATTCCTTTTAAAAATTTGTTATACATAGATTAATTTTAACAAAAAATTGCGCTTGAATCATGGAAGTCAGTATCGAATTAACTTTGTGGACTTTTTGATGAATGTGATGCACTGTACGGTAAATACTTTTCTCTTTTAGGCATTATCAGATCAGAAAGAATGAAAACAGTGAGTGCTGATGAGTAGATGGCATTTTGTGATTTATCTCTACAAACAATTTACAACAAATATTTATGTTTCAGTGATAAGAGTAAAAGGAGGACCAAAACAGTAAAGAAAAGTCTAGAGCCAAAATGGAACCAAACTTTTCTCTACTCACATGTACATCGTAGAGATTTTAGAGAACGAATGCTTGAAATAACCGTATGGGATCAGCCAAGAGTGCAAGAAGAAGAGAGTGAATTTCTTGGAGAGGTGATACATACAATCACATTTCTCCTGAGTTCGTTGTTTGGTTTTGAATACATATGCATATATATTTTATATATGTGTTTGTGTGCGTGTGCCTTGAAAGTAAAATTAAAACCTGATAATTTTTCTACTAGATTCTTATAGAGCTGGAGACAGCACTTTTAGATGATGAACCACATTGGTATAAGCTACAGACACATGATGAATCTTCACTACCTCTGCCTCAGCCATCACCTTTCATGCCAAGAAGACATGTTCATGGTGGAGAAAGCACTAGCAAAAAATTACAAAGTAGGTCCAAATTCCATTCATCTCTTTTAAATTTTAAATTAGAAATGCCGGATATGGTGTAATGGTTTTTAACTTTCATATACAAGATAAAAATACTATTTCGTAGTCTTTAAACATAATGAAAATGTGTGGCAGAAAAGAGATGCATATTATGATATTATGACATGACAGCCTTTCACCTGTGACGCATAACTTGTGAAACCTGTTGGAATTGGTTTGGTTTTCACTAGCAAAAGAAAATTGTTCAAACATTTGTGCATAAAAATTCCCTTTTAAATAGAAAGATGAAGTTCATTGTTACGGGATACTTTTTAATAACTAAAAGCTTTTTATTTAAAAAAAAGTCCTTAAAGACTTATGAGGCTTAAAAACACTTTTCATCATAAAGTTAGTTTCAACCTCCAATACGCTTATTATACAATCAGATGAGAAGTGTACTTTTGCAGCAAAGAGAAATTGTATGAATGCATTTGGGAGGTACAGTTGTTTTGATAAGTCTCATTTTAGGTTTGTATGAGGCATATTAAAATAATGAATGTATTGAAATATTTGAATATTGTAGCTTCTCTGTTCATTTAAATGAATTTAAGATTTATTTAGAAATAAGAAGGACATAGGGGATTATTTTAAAATACGTTTCCAAGCTATTTTTCTGTTTTTTCTTAAACATGGAAGTCAGTCATTCCAGCCAATGCATAGGAAATTGGTACACATTCAGGAATGAATTATAAAAATGTGATACTGCTGTAATTGCTGCATGAGGATATGTATAGAGCGAACAAATTAAAGGTTAGTTTTCATGAGATGCTTGAACTTTTCTAAAAGCTGGCAGTGCTGTTTCCTCTTCCCCTCTCTCACCATATGCTGCCACCTCTTCTTTCCTGTTCAGCAAGCTGATTCAGCTTACTCACTGAAATAGCACAAAAGTAATTTTTTTCTTTATTTGAGTTAACTTTTTGCTGGTTTAGTGAGATAAACTATCCTAGTAGAGGATTACTGAGAACTTGAGGGAAGGAGAAGGGGAAAGGAGGCTGCAGCAGCTGTAAGATGTTAAATTGGCTCAGCTGTCTTGTGAAACGTCACTGTCAGTCACTGCAGTTTAGCTCTCCTCCTCTATTGTTTAGACTTAAAATCATCTTTTTCATTTCAGTAGTACATTAAATGAACATATTTCTACATTTTATAACACGACCAGATGTTCAGGTATTTGTTTACCTTACTGTTGTGCAGGATCTCGGCCAATCAGTGATAGTGACATCTCAGATTATGATGTTGATGATGGTATTGGAGTTGTTCCTCCAGGTGCGTGGGTGAACAGCATGGTCCTGCTTTTTTATTCTTCTTCTTTTTTGCTTGTTTGGTTTTTTTTCTTTATAACATTTCGGAATATTGAGGATACTGGTTTTGGAGAATGCATTGTGAAAAAAACAGTTTTCCTGATTATTCCATGGTACCTGTCCTAAATCGTGGTGAATTAAAAGATCCTATTATTCATTCATTGATATTTCTTTTACATATCATTCTTCATATGTGAACCACTGGACGGTTCAAATTGTTTAATTGTTTACTGCGTAATGTTCCAAGCATTATTTAAAATAGAAATTAAATTCAAAAAATCATTTTAAGATAGTAATTAAGATTTCAGTGTTTATTGCAAGCATTTTTTTTTATTTTGCTTTTTGCTCGAAACTCAGATATAATGCAGTCTCCCATGGACTTTATTGAGAATGCATGGCTGTAGATTAAGATGCATGTAGCATGGCTATATCTTTTATTGTTTTCATAAGCCTTCATGAACTATCATTACATAAATGTTCATAAAGATATACTTGTAGAGACTATCGTGGTTTGACTTTTAGTTCAGCATTCCTTACATGCTGAAAATCTTGAGGATCATTTTTCTACTTCTATTTGACTGTTGCCACAAGTCAGATGAATATGTTTCCCAATTGTCCCAAACTAACTGAAGAGTCACTATGTCATTGCCAGCACTAAATCAGTTTTTCTGTGGATCTTCCCAATGAAAATCACTGAATTAAATCATGGTGGGATTTGGAAAGCACTCTATCTTCTTGATCTGTGTTTAAAATAATCTGACAATTTATTTATTAATTATATAACCATACAAATAAAACACGTATTTTATTAATGCAATATCATTTTGATGTTTACTGAGTCAAATTCTCCATCCTTTGAAGTTAACTGGGTTCTTTCCTTACTTTAATACACTTACCACCTGAGTTACTAAGAGGCAAATTTGTTCGGGTATGTCTAGTAATGATATTTGCTTTAATGAAGTGATTAATCTAGATATTTTTACATCAGCTGAGAGAGTGAACATTTAAAATTAAAATAAATCATAGGTTCTAAATATTTTTTCCTGTTTATTATTTAATTTTTTCAGTTGGCAATGTAGATAATGGCATATCTGTGCAGACTTACGTTTAAGGTTTCAATATTAAAGAATTAAAGCCCCAATGTATTAAGAATTGGGGCTTTTTTTCAGCTGCCAGTTCTTCAAGGCATCCATTTGCCATTTGAAACAAACCTGTGGTAGGTTGACCCTGGCTGGATGCCAGGTGCCCACCAAAACTGCTCTATCACTCCCCTCCTTAGCTGGACAGGGAGAGAAAATATAACAAAAGGCTCATGGGTCGAGATAAGGACAGGAAGATCACTCACCAATTACCGTCATGGGCAAAACAGACTTGACTTGGTGAAAAATCAATTTATTACCAATCAAATCAGAGTAGGAAATAAGAAATAAAACCAAATCTTAAAACAACTTCCTCCCACCCCTCCCTTCTTCCCAGGCTTAACTTCACTCCCGATTTTATCATAGAATCATAGAATAGTTAATAGTTTGGGTTGGAAGGGACCTCTAAAGGTCATCTAGTCCAACCCCCCTGCCATGGGCAGGGACATCTTCAACTAGATCAGGTTGCTCAGAGCCCCGTCCAACCTGACCTTGAATGTTTCCAGGGATGGGGCATCCACCGGTTCTCTGGGCAACCTGTTCCAGTGTTTCACCATGGTAATTGTAAAAAATTTCTTCCTTAGATCTAGTCTAAATCTACCCCCCTTTAGTTTAAAGCCATTCCCCCTTGTCCTGTCGCAACAGGCCCTGCTGTTGTTTTCTCTACCTCCTCCCCCTCAGTGGCACAGGGGGACAGGGAATGGGGGTTGGGATCCGTTCATCACATGTTGCTTCTGCCGCTCCTTCCTCCTCAGGGGGAGGACTCCTCACACTCTTCCCCTGCTCCAGCGTTGGGTCCCTTCCATGGGAGACAGTTCTCCATGAACTTCTCCAACGTGAGTCCATCCCGTGGGCTGCAGTTCTTCACAAACTGCTTCAGTGTGGGTTCTTTCCATGGGTGCAGCCCTTCAGGAACAGACTGCTCCAGCGTGGGCCCCCCGTGGGGTCACAGGTCCTGCCAGGACCCTGCTCCAGCGCGGGCTTCCTACGGGATCACAGCCTCCTTCGGGCATTCACCTGCTCTGGCGTGGGGTCCTCCATGGGCTGCAGGTAGATATCTGCTCCACTGTTAATCTCCATGGGCTGCAGGGGGACAGCCTGCCTTTTTTTTTACCATGGGCTGCAGGGGAATCTCTGCTCTGGTGCCTGGAGCACCTCCTCCCCCTCCTTCTTCACTGACCTTGGTGTCTGCATATTCTCACTCCTCTCTTCTGACTGCTGCAGTAGCTGTTGCACAGCAACATTTCCCCCTTCTTAAATATGTTATCCCAGAGGCGCTACCACTGTTGCTGATGGGCTCAGCCTTGGCCAGCGGTGGGTCCGTCTTGGAGCTGGCTGACATTGTCTATCGGACATGAGGGAAGCTTCTAGCAGCTTCTCACAGAAGCCACCCCTGTAGCACTCCCGCTACCAAAACCTTGCCACGCAAACCCAATACAAAACCATTTTCCATCTGACAGGAAACGTTCAAAAACATTCAGCTGAATGCATTGGACTCTATTCACTGGGTCAGCACTTGAGTAACTGATTCTTACGGAAATTTCTTGGGACTGTGCATGCTCAGGTGTGCCTTTCAAGAATGCATGGGTCCAAACTTTCTCAGAGATCACTGTAGAAAATTGCAAGATTTAGTCTGTAGCAATAGGATTTACAATAAGCTGAGAGTCTCTAAACTGAAACTCAAAGGGCCTGGTGAGGAAACTCCTTCTGAAGTCCACCTAATCAGAAACAATCTGGCAGCTGTCCTGACCAAGGACAAATCTATCTATTTTGAGTTTAATGGATACATGTTTGGCAATTTTAAGTGGAGTTCATCTGTTTGCGATTCCTATGCAAAGTGGATATACACGTAAGTGTGGGGGTTTTGGTTGCAGGTGCAACCTGAATTCTTAAATGGGGGTTAGACTTTAGGCACACAGGGGCAAAGAAAATTTCAGTCATCAGGCACAAATGTGTGACAGCCTAGACAGCATATGAAAATGTGTTTTGCAGTGAGAGCTGGAAAAGGTTGCCAGTCCCACCGTCTACTGAATTGCTCGAGAATCTTAGGCACAGATTCACAAATGTGCCTGGACACCAAGTTCAGATATGCATTTCTACCCTCCTATCCAACCTTCCTTACTTATCACATCACTAAATCTTCTAAGACTTTGGATTGCTACCTTCATTTGCACTGAATGAATAGTACAATATCTTCTCCATCTATCAGTCTCCTCTGTTAAAATTAAGTTGCATGCAAGTTCCTTGTTGTGCTGCAGGGTCTTTACCCCTTCCCTCCTCCTTCCCCCCAATACCATAGACCTCACCAGAGTGCACTGCAGCTCTTGTCTGGTCCAAATTTCCCCCACATTCTCCTGCAAGGTATGCATGTGGGAGGGAATGACGAATATCCATATTTCCCCATAGTGTAGGATGATGATGCAGCTCAGGTGCACTCTTAAAACATTTTGGCATAGCCTCTATTGGCTTCAACAAGATTAGTCCAGGATTAAGATATTCCTCCTCAATGGAAGTAAGAATATCAAAATTGAGTTTACATGTGACGCAAAAGAAAGTGTTTCCCTTTAAAGCCCCTTTTCCTTCCTTTACTACTTACTTGCCAATGTTACCCACTGTGGTGCTTATATGTGATAAATAAGCTCTGTCTTTATTAAAGGTATATTCTTACAGTACTTAATTTAGTCTATTTCTTGAAATATTCAGAAGAGAAGGAAGTTATTTTGCCTTCTTAATATCTCAAGATTTTCACAAAGATTATTGCTCATTTTCTAAAAAACAGACACATAACTGCAAAATGTAGAAGCACAAAAGTTCACTTGATCACCACCATAAACTAAAAAAGGAATGATGAAAATATTTTGGCTAATTTAACTAACATTGGAAATCCTTAAAAGTATCATTTCAAATGTTTTACCAATTGCTAAGGCAAATGAAGCATTAGCATTTAGTAATAACAGAGAAAACTATTTTCCTCAAGGTTTCAGCAGCTGCAAAGAATCACTGCTTGTCGATGAAAGTAGAGACAGCTACATCAAAAATAATGGCACTTTGATAACTTCAAGAATATTTTAAGAAAAGTGTTTTTCCCTTGTTATATCACAAATGTGTCTTATCTTTCATATAATTGTACTGTCCTCATTTATTATTAGTATCTTGCAGTGATATATATATTTTTTTTAAAATCAGCTCATAGAACTGTTCATAAAAGGAGTTTATATCAACAGCTGAAAGTAACTTTAATTTGAAGCTCAGCTTTAACAGAATTGATTTTTGACAGGGTTTTGTCATATGCCCACATCTATTTACATGAAGAAAATATTATTTTAAATCTCTTAGCCTGTCCTCATATGAGAGATGCTTCAGTCTCTTAATTATCTTTGTGATCCTGAGCTTGACTCACACCAGCAATAACTCCATGTCTGTCTTGTACTGAGGAACCCAGTACTCTGGATGTGGCCTTACCAATGCTAAGTGTATAGGAAGGGTCAGTAAAGGATCAGTAAAGGATTTAATAAAAACTGAACATCTTTTGAGGCCTATCTTTTTAACCAAAATTTCAGTAACTTTCTTAATTAAAAAGAAAAAAAGCTGATATACAGTTGGCAATATCCCAAAGGACATTTTTAATGAGCTGTATTGCTTATGCTATGGGTAACCCTTCAGAACAATTTATTTTTCTATCATATGTAATCTGTATAAATGGTTACATTGTACTTACCTTCCTCCTGTAGCAGTAGGGTGACATCAACACAACACTTTGTCGTTGTCTGTATTGTCTTTAAAAAAAAGAAAAGTTCTGGTATCAAATATTTGCTAGAACCATTTTCATCATCCATCCAGCTTCCATTTCATGTCACACCTGACAGTTTCCCATGAGCAACTGAGAAACTTCTTCTGCGTAAACTATCATGAGCTTGATTGCTGCTATCATGCTGGTCCATGCAAAAAATTTCTCTGCTCACTCTGGAGAGCACAGAGCCTTTGTATTTGAGGATATGAGGAAATGTTACTGTTGCTGTCACTGTCATGGTCACTATGGAAGTATGGATGCAATTTGACCAACTTGACAATGCGTAAGCTAATACTTAGGATAAATGTGAATTGTTATTGCTTTGTCTGTTCTGTAAGCTTTGTGTACATACAATGCACAAGTTTCAGATATTGTTCCCTGGATAGCTTGGCAATAAAGAATATATAGGATAAAATCATTTTTCTATACCAGATTTCTAAGTGTACAGGGTAATCCTAGGTGTATTTTTTTAGGCAGACTAGAGGTAGTCTAGAAATATATTTTAAACTGAAATTTATATTTAATTTTTTTATATTTAAATTAGATGTATTTCAGTACAGTTGCCTAAAACTTGGAAAGAAGTTTTGGATTTCTTTGATTTTAGTGTTGAATAAATGTAAACTAGTGTTCCTTCAGATAGAGATGACAAGATTTTATCTAAAACGAGCTTGTTTGGAAAATGAGATATCTTTTAGCACATACAGCTTAGATTTAATTATCCTGTGAAAGGGAACACATCTAGCTTTTGTCATGTGTGGTCTTTTTTCTTCCTCTGACAAAAAACCAGACATTTTCTACAGCAACCTTAGTACATGAGATGAGGGAATCTCCACTGAAGTCTGAGGGAGTCCCTTTTTTGCCTCAAAATTTGCACCCAGTCCTTGTCATGAGATCAGGGAGATCCTCCTATTTCTTTCTAATTTTAGTACACAACTGTGAAACTCTTTTACAGCAGATAAGGTACTCCAGCATCACAGTGCATCAAAACCTGCAAAACATTGGAGTCCTTCTTTGTTAAAAGGTTGATAAACCTCAGTAGATACTTTCATGCATGCCATCAACTTTTACGGGTCTATTTTGCAGTCAGTACTCAGTACAGCTTTGCTATTAAAAATGCCCATTAAGTGGCAAGCATTTGCTGTTTATGTAGCTGCTAGTGAGCTCTCCCAAAAGTTTTTTCTCCATGTCCTTCTCTGGTTTTCACGATAGTCCCCAACCTCCCCAAACTTGAGTAATGTCACATTTTAAATCTGAGACTATATTAATTATTTTTATTTGACATGTCTCAGTGTTTGGGAACAGTGCACACATGCGCACAACATTATGGTCACTGATGTTTGTTTCTGAGCTACATGATAAGTCCTTATTACAAGTGCTTTTCTTTGGGCCCAATCCTACCCTCTAAGATCTATCAGTACTCATACTGCTTCCCGTTTCCCTGATTTATTAACCTCATCCCACCTCTCTGCTTCAACAAATGGAAGAAAAAAGTTATTTTTCATGTTCTCACACCAGCCGCTATACTATGAATTATAAGACATGAAAGTTGGACAAAATGATAGCAGAACTGGGAAAGGTTTTTCTGCGTATGTTTTCTAGCTGACAGTAACCAGAAAGTCCATAGTAAAACTGTCTGATCATCTTTTTGTTAACCTTGTCTCCTTCACACCTGCCTTCCCTATCATATTTGTAGTGGTAAATATATTAAAGACAAGAAGGAATTATTGAAGCCAATCTTTTTTTATTTACTAAAGTTGCTGCTGGTGTAAGGCTGGAAGCTACTGCAGGATACTACAGCACCTTGGTGCTCATCTGTTATCTTTGGATAACTTTTGCTAGTTTGCTCAGTACTATATAAAAGGTGTGGACACAGTTCTGGAGGCTGTGTTATTATAAGCTGTATAATCAGGGAAAACAGTCTTAGAGTTCCTTGGATGATAAATCCATAATCTAGTAGGTACCTGTTCTCAGTTTTGTGTTACTAAAATAATCTTGTAATCTAATTTAAATGTCTAGAAGTGAGCAACTGAAGTCTGAGCAAATCTTCTTAGGCTCTTTTGGAAAGATAACAGGCACCTTTTGAAATCTGTTCGTCTTATTGAGCTTCATTGTCTTTTTTAGGATGGCATTCAAAGTGTGTATCAAGGCAAACAGTGTGCTACGTGGAAAAAGGCACAGGAATATCAACACTTTAAAATGTACTAACATTCTGCTGATTTTTTTTAAATCCTATGATGAGCTACGAGAAACTTTGCAGTATAGTATTTGGAAAAAATGTTGTGCAGAGTATGCAACACCCAATATTCTATACAATATACTCTAAATGCTCGTAATTTTTGAAAGTAGGTGGCTTTGGCCAAGTTTGGTAGAGAATATCTTTGTATTTAACTGAAATAAAAGTCAGAAGGGTGCTTTATATGTGAGCAGTCCTGGATGAGTCTGTGCTGCTGTACACAAGCGTGCCTTCTCCATTTGTTAGATGAGGTAAACCTATATTGCTTGGATTCCTTTCAAGTATTTGCTACTGTATGACAATTTTGAAATACAAGTTACTCTGGGTACTCTTCTGCAAGTCAGAAAAATATTTCAGTCCTCTCCTCCACATTGTCCAGTATGAAACTCATATCAGTTTCTCTGTCTCTGTACATGTAGACATTTAACGGTAATGCTTGTAATTTATCCTGGCTGCATGATACGTCGTGATGTACAACAGCTGAATGACAACTTGAAAGTTGTGTAAGCATTTAGATGCGTGTTCCTGGAAGGACTAACCATCTGAATTCTTTCCAAACCCAGACTTTTATTCTCTAATTTCCGTTTTTTGCCCTCTTGCCAGTAGGTTATAGATCTAGTACTAGAGAAAGTAAATCTACAACGCTAACTGTGCCAGAACAGCAAAGAACAACACATCATCGTTCACGATCTGTATCTCCTCACCGTGGCGACGATCAGGGCAGGACCCGTTCACGTTTACCAAATGTGCCATTACAGAGGTAGGCACCACAAGTCAGTGAAATGCTGGGTGGTTTCAAGTTTGTATAATCTGTCACTATTAACTTTTCTCTTGTTCAGCAATTTTTCACAATTTTAAAACGTTTTGTATCTTAATTTAATAGTGTAGTATTTGAACTTGATATATGCTTTTATTAATCATTCAAGAGCACTCATGAGATGAATCATAACTTTGCAAGACTTACCTCTTCTTACTGATAGTTTCTGTGGTTCATCATCTGTGTACCATAACTAATATGTAGGCTTGGAAATGTTTTTTCAGTCAGTGGCTGAATCTTGTATGAAGCCACTTAAGTATATTTGTAGGATAATAAACAGTGGCATGTACAAATTGTATAATAACTATGAATTGAGTTAATTTTGAATTAACAGCAAGCTGAAATTACCAATTGTATTTATAATGTGACATTTTTAATGGAAGAAGTAAAAACACTTTACAGAATCAGACAGTGATTTATAAACCTCTATTTTCTGCATTTACTGCTTTTAAGAGACAACCTATTAATAGGAGAATCTTTTTTGAGCTTTACATTTGTATGCTTTATGCTTTTTTTGAATAGTGGCGTACAGACTGTTTAAGCACAAAACTTGACCCACTTGATTTTGCTTGTTTTATTGTGCAGGGCAATAAGCTTTTCTTGCAGCTTCTCATGGAACCCTAAAAGTCACCCAGTTTTTACCAGTTTTTCTTTCCTCCAATTTCTAGGAAGCTTTGTTCTTGAATTACTGCAAGAGCTGGAAGTGTTGCACTAGCAACATCATTGCCCACTAGCTGTGGTAGTTTACTGAAAATCTACCCTTCTTAGCTGAATTTTGTGTACCAAATTCTGTGCTACAGTACTGTCCTTATCCATTGTTTCTGTGTCTGTTTTTTTGGAGTTCCATCACTGGTCATTTAATACCAGAAATCTGTGATGTTTCAAAGTGATGCTATATTCTGGAAAACCAGCTTCTCCTCCCAGTTGAGAATCCTGGTGATCTTGCTTCTGCCTTTTCATCCTCCATGCCATATATACTGTTCTTGTGCATTGAGATTTTGTGTGCTTCTTAAGTCTCTGCATGCATCCCCCTCTGTTACATCAGTTCTTACAGATGAAGCTATTTTACTACCCATGAAATCGCTTGCTGTTGCATTTCTCAGTCATGCATCCTTAACAGATAGAAGAGTATGGGTGTACATAAAACAGACTGTGGCACTGACATTTTTCTTATAGTAGAGAGCATGAATGCTCTTCATTCTGCTTTTGCAAACAATTATATGTGCTCTTGTTGTATCTTTCTATCTACAAGCACAATGCACAAATGAAATATTTCAGTCAATTCCACCCATCCTTTCATTTTATACTTTGAAAAACTAATGCTTCTAGTTCCAATGGCAGTTATTAAACTAAAGGAAGAATCTGCCCCTCAAGTAGTAGTTTCTTTTCTTGTTCTTTTCCATGTGAAGAGAGCTTTAAATTACTGTTATGGAGGTCAAAGCCTACCTGCATTTATACAAAGTCATACCCCTTTTGTATAACACTTAGTCTGAGATTGATAAAATCTGCTGCAAGTTCCCATATCTTATCCCAGAATTTTTTAAAGAGTACTTGGAGATACCTGCAAAAAGTTGACAACCCCAAATCAGGCCTTTAGAAATCTGGCTATGAATCTACAAATGCATAAAACTTAATTTCATGTGAGGTATAATCAGTTCTTGTGTTATCTCAGTTATTCTTTAAGTACAGGCTTTGAAAATGCCATTACTGAATCCATCAGTGTACACAGAAACAGGCATGTACTTCTAAATATGGTAGAAATGGCTGTTTTCTATACTTAGAGGTGGGTTTTTTTAATCTTAGGAACCAATATTTTTTTAGAAGTCATATATTAACAATTTAATGATTAAAGACTTCCCTCAACCAACTTGTGCTGTAATCCATTAAGCTGTGTTATTTTTGAGAAAAGAAGATTATCATACATATTTCTGCCTTTCAGGAGTTTAGATGAAATTCATCAAATGAGAAGATCACGTTCTCCAACTAGACACCATGATGCCTCCAGAACTCCAGCTGATTACAGATCCAGAGACATGGATAGTCAGTATTTGTCTGATCAAGAAAGGTACATCGTCAGCCTGAACTTGGAAACAAGTTTAGAAATGTCTTTGTTGGTTTGCCTAATTTTCAAGTATTCAGTAGAAACATGACTGACAGTAATGGGGAAGGGAGAGAAATCATCCTAACTGACAAATCTAGTGTCATGGTTAAATTATTTATGCCTCTTTTTTGGTAAAACTGTGCTCTGGGTTGACAGTAATAGCAGGTATCTAGACTAGTGGTTCTTTTGTGTTTGTCCTAGAGTATTCTGCTGTTTGTTTTATGAATGAAGCCCAGAGATTTTTGCGAGAAAACCATAAATCTACACGTATGCTTTAGCTATTCTTGTAACTCAGAATTTTTCTGTTTTGGTAGCCAGCAAAATACCAGGCATGCCTTCCTACTAGTTGGGAGTTGCTTATGCTATGGTTTGCATTCCTGTGCTTATAGATTTTGGACATCTATATATGCAGTCTCACAGCATCTTATGTAACATTCTGGTGAACTTGGTACAGTACCCAGGCATAGCAAGGATAGTTGCGGTGCTTGTAATTAGCAAAAATCTCCAATCTTAGATGCGTGACACGTACCCATCTCTCCTTGGAATACATGCAGTGGCTACACTCCTCAGAGTATGCTTGGTCTCTCCTAGTAGGCATTTTTTTCAGCTATCTAGGAATATCATCTAATAAAATGGAAGAAAGTGAGAATATCTGTTTAGTTTATAGCTGAAAAAAGTTTAAAAAGGTATTTCGGTTCAGTATTTGGGAAACATAATGATGACAGTCACCTAGATTATCAACGTTTGTGGGTCGTTTGTTTACTTAGAAAAACATTCATATGGCTAAATTATAATGGCAAACTTTTATCATTCGCATATGATCAATTGTTCTAGTAATGTCTTTGGATTTTTTTTTTTTTGCAGTAAGTTACTATTTTTTATGAGTAAGGATGACAAAACCTTTCCAAATGATCCAGTAAATTCAATACAAAACATACATTTCATAGTGTTGTGAAAACGTGTAAGGAATAAACCATAAAAATCTCTGGAACTCTGTCCAGTTTTGAAGCAACATAAATATTGCATAACAGATGGCTTTTGCAGTTAAACTAGTTCAGTTTTGTATATGGTCTTGCCTGGTTTGCTTTTTTAATGTGATATCATACATATGGGAATTAATGAGTTATTCGGAACATTTTAAAATTCCACCTTATAGGCAAGAAGTATGTACAGAATTGTCTAAGTTGGATTGTTGTATTGAATTTCCTTTTAAAGGTGAATTGAAATGCTTTTTAAATGTAGTAGTCAGATTTATAGTTAAGCTAATTCAAGTAATTTCCACTTGTTGCAGATGTTTCATGTTACTATTTATTATAAGTAGTGATAAATTCAAAAGATTTCTGAAAATATTTATTGAATAGATTTCTTATTCAGCAGATCTGAAGAGGAAGAGACATTAAAAAGTAGCTTTTGTCAGTAGAAATAAATATAGACAGTTAACTGTCTAGAAAATTTTATTGCAGTAAAGCCTTAAACCATGATATAAATGATGATATAGGCATGGATTATGCTTGGAGAGCAGGGCTTGCATTGAGGCTTACTTGGAGATGAGCCATCAGACCAGAGCCACAGCAGCAACGGGCTGCTGGATTTGTTCGGAGGAGTAAGATACATTCTTCAGTTCTTTTCAATGTTCAGAAAACGCTTTTCAGAAGTTTAAAGATCAGACATGAAGGATGTATGTGGCTTATTTGCAGGATTTAAAGATGAGTCCATGTACTTACTCTCCTTGAGTAATAATCTTGTCTGCAGTGGTCTCCTTTTTCCCGTTTTCCTTTTCGTCTTTCACTCAGATTTCTTCCATTGTGGAGACTGTTTAACTCTTGCAGGTTTCACTGTCTTTCAGTACATGAGAGCAGCATCATAGGGAAGATCAAAACCAGCTTTTGTTGAGGAAGATTCTCTATCACATCCAAGGATTTAAAAAAAATCTTGATTCAGTATTATGTATTAGTATCAATAGTGGTATAAGTATTATGTTTTGTTCATTTACTGAACCCTTCATCTAAACAAGTACATTCATGTAGATACCTAACATAAACTTGGTTTGAAAGGTGAGTAATTACCCGATAATTACATGGCAGAAATTGCAGTTGCTGATTATTTTTGATCATTTTCTCAATGATCTGTTGTTGGTCCCAAATTAATATTGAGTATTCTGAATAGATCTTTGCAAAAATAGTTATTATAGTCTCTTACTAAAGCATTTGGTGTGATAAATTTCCAGTGGAACTGATTTGTCCACTTTTCCTTTTTTATATATATTTATATACATATATACAAACACTTGTATGTGTATGTATATATATAAATCTGTTAGGAAAAGCTTTTTATTAGGAAATCTAGCTAAGCAGCATACTTAGCTCTGAGTTTAGGCTCATCATCCAATTTTCAAGGACGTGGCCCTTATCTTTTTTTTGAATGTTTCTTTTATTCCTAAATAAAACCTGTTAATGTGAGTACTAAAATACCCACATTAGAAAACACTTGTTTTAGAATAATAATCTTTATTTTAAATGTCTACAAACCAGTCTTAATTTATTATAGAACCGTGAGTATCTTCTTATATTATTGGTAATCTACTCTGATGGATTCTTTTGCTTTGTTTTTTTAACTTGAAGATTTCATGGTGGATATGCTATTTTATATCCCTTTTCTGGATGAATTTTATATTACTGTTTGCTGTGGGCCAATTACAATAGATACTCTTTGGCTTAGCAAAGGTAGAGTAAATATTAAGAAAGTACCCTATGATTTAATGTGGACTTTGCATCTACTTCCCAACACTTAAGAAAATGGTAACTTTTTTCCTAAAATGCATATTTATTTGTAATTTGGAAACCTGCATATAAATTCTGTCAGTCCTCTGAGCTTATGAAGGGAAATTTTGCTTAAAAAAAAAAAAAAAAACAATTCAGTTCACCTTTAATACATTTTGTTGCATCAAAATCAGACTAGTGGTTCCAGATGCAAAGTTAAATCTCACACGTGACTCACAAGCCATTATTTCAAGCTGCCCAGTTTAGAATTTTAGATAAATATTACCTATACTGCATCAATTAAATGGGTCATTTTATAATGGCATGAAGCACAAAACACATTGAACAACTGCTGCTTTATCTTTTTGTAATCTTTTCTCTCTTTGTCGCCATAGTACTTCATATGATTCCCTGCTTCTTTTAAAATAGCATGTTTCCATGAAGTTTAGCTTTAATTTCATATTTACAATAATTAGGAGGTTTGGAGCTTGTCCTTTCTAATTGTGTTGAAGTGCGTAAAACTACAAGATTAATTCAAGGGCTATTTCATATCATAGTCATATTTACCATAGGCATAAATATGTATTAATTTTACCATCTTGCCAGCTGTAGCATGTGTTTGGTTACAGTAAATGAAAAATAGAATAGATGGCTCATTTTCTCAATTGGAAACAATAAGAAACAAAAAGTCTAATGGCTGGTTAGCAATTTTTTTGTTTCTTTAGGATTGCATTACAAAGTACTGTCAAGAGCTACGAGTCAGAATTTATATTTGTCCAAACATAATATTTCCAGTGAACATATATTTTTGTTTTTCCTGAGAGGGTGGCTGGTTACTCTTCCCATAAACCGATTTGCAGTAAATTAGTAGCAAACCCTTCCTGCTTTTTCATGTATGGTTTTGTGGCTTAGGAAGAAAAAAAACCCAAACAACAATCTTCATTAATTAGTTCATGAGAAAGGAGGTTATTAGAGAAATGTAGCTGTTTTATGGATTCCTTTTGTCGTTAAGAGCTCTGAAACAGTACTTCTGAATTTTAAAAGGAGAAATCTCACAAAATTAGGTGCCACGCTAAAAGGAATTTGTTGAAAATGTAGTTACCACAGGCATTTTTTGGCTCATATTCTCTAAGAAGTGCAGTCTGGGTTTGAACATTATCAGACTATCTATCTGGGTGGAAGCTTCTTGTTTCTTTTTATGTTTTCATTTGCATATCATTGACATAACCCATGTCATCTAATGCTTCATAATTATATCTGTTTCACTCACCACCCATCCTGTCTGTGCAGTGAGCTTCTTATGCTGCCCAGAGCAAAACGAGGAAGAAGTGCAGAGTGCCTACATACCATCAGGTAAATACAGGAATTCGGTAATCATGAACACATCTGGTTAGTTGTCTATACTTTGTGTGCCCGACTTTTTTCCATAGCGGTATTTAGTCCCAGTAAGTAAAAAAACTTCCTAGTACGTTGTGATCCAGGTGTCAGTTGTTCTTTTTTGTCCTAATCTTGTTTTAATTCAGATCTAGATGTGTATATATGTTTGTGAACTTCAGTAGTAAGGATTAAAGCAGTTGAAGAAATTCTGATTTTTCAGTTGTATTTTGTGGTAGATTTTCTGTCTAGTCACAGAAGTCCTGATCTCCCAATGCATGACAGTGTTGTTATAATTTCAAACGCTCCTTTTTAGTTGTTTTTATGTTTTCTTTTATTTGCATTTTTATGTTTATATTACAAGCATGCATAAGCCAAGAATCTTTACTTGTTGTGACACCTAATCTCATGCTGATTTTGGTCACTTGTAGAGGAAGGAACAGTGATTAATGAGGGCTCACTGGGAACCCCAGATTTGAGGGGTCTCGTATTACTTGTTTTTTCATCTACAAATTGTGCTATAAATTAGATCCAGGCGTAAACTTTGTAGTTTGGGCTCATCTTCAGTCTTCATTAATCTCTCGTTCCAAAGCTTGGAGCTCCCTGTCTCAACTCTTCCCAATGTTGTAAAACTAAACAGGACTGAAATATCTTTATCTAACAAATCTAACTCCCCTTTTGTTTTCACCACGTCTGTTAACCTTGTTAAAAATACATGTCAGATTATGTAGAAAACCTTCCAGTTAGAATCAGTAAAAACATAGTTTGAAGTTGAAGTAGTTAACCATTCAACAACTTCAACCAAGTAGTTCACCATTTTTCTGTTCGGGATCTGGGTGTTGCTAAGAGTTTTACTTTTAAACTTTTAAAACCATGTTGTCTAATACACGTATTCATTTACTTGGTGTAGGATTTTCCCCTACAGAGTAGGGTTTTTTAATATGCCTTGGGTTTCTTTAATTCTCTTCATCGAATTTGAAACAGCATCAAAGATGCTGTGATAGGGTTCTGTTACAAGGCACAATAGTATAAAGGTAAAATAATAAATAGGAAAACTTTCAAAAAAATCTGTGCATCAGTGAAGCTGTTAAATGAAAATTTAAGTTCTCATTATCAGTAGAAAGAGTTTCATTCTCATACTTCAGCTAAAAAAGCTTTTTCCTCAACATTTTAGGTTTTAAAGGTTAATCATTTATTTCACTCCCTGTTATTTTATGTCAGTTTATTGTCATATAATCGCAATTTTTCCTGCCTCCTTCCTACGGCCTCTCTCTTTCTGCTGCATCTTCTATAGCTTCACTCCCCTTCTTGCACCCAGCTCTATGCTTTTTCCTTTCCCTCTTAAAGATTATAATTTTCATTAGAATTCTTCAATGACAATGCTTAAATTCTCATGTAATTCACGAAGTAAATGTTGTATTATGAACTTTTGATGCACTTTGCCCAGCCACTATAGATTTCCAATAGTTTTACAAATCTACTAACCAGTCTCGCCAGTTAACCAGCTAAAAATTATGCATGGTCAGCAATAGAGTTAGGTAAGAGCTACACTGAATTCAGAGATACAGCCCTTTCTTGCCTTTTTCCTTATTCTGATTATTGCTGTTATTTTTTTATGATCAAGAAAAGTAATAAATTCACCCCTTTTATAGTATACCATTACTGTTACTTTAAACAGAATGGTACTTTTAGTAATGTATTGAAGGTGAATATAAGGGCAATAGAAGACAATACATTGGTTTTTTTAAATTTAACTCTGACACTTAGACAGCCTAAACCAAGTTTGAATAATACCCAGAAAATTGTCAATATCCATCCTTGACTGAATAATCTCAAAAAACCTTTCAACAAAAATTTGGTCTGCGCATTGGTTGCTATCTTTTGTCCTTTCTTAGTTGTAGTGGCCTGACATTTATTCATGTTAGAAACATTATGAGGCTTTATCCTTGTTTTCTAGACAGCTTGCTGAATAATGTTTTAATTAATTGTTGAGACAGCTTCAGCTTAAAATGGGAAAGAAATGTTAAGGGTTTCATGTTAAATGAAAGAAATATTAATATGAGATAGTCCAAGTGACAAAGTTAAGATATATGGTTAGTTTAATACACCAGTTTAGAATAATACTAGTCCTAGCTGTCTACCCTGTCCATCTGTATGCAATTATTGACTAATAGCAGGAATGGTGGAAGGACATGTATAGCTATGCCATAGACCGTGGGTGGTTACAGTCCATGTCTTAGGTCACACCCACTTTGATTGGTAGTATCTGCTAGTATGCCAGGATTGACCTGATGGACAACCATTCCTTTATTCCAACTTTGCAACGTCACAGTGACCTGTGGTAGAGATCAGATTTAGAGATCAGTGACGACCGCTAAACCTGTACAAGAAGGGTCATAGCTCCTCTGTTAAATACCTCAGGGTTTTACAGACACTAGGGTTTCCAGGCAGAGAGTTGTTTCACCTGTCTGTGACACAGCCGGGTTTGTAATGGTGATCTGCAAGGTCCAAGCCTTAATAGGAATCAAAACGTCCTATTGGGACAGACTGTTCTTGAAGCTGCAAAATCCTCAAGGTTGCTGGTCCTTCTGCTAATAGCGCCACAGCTGTGTCCTGGTAGGGTATGTGGAAAATTGTTAGAACTTGATTATTAACCCTTAACCATTAAATGGCCATGCCTCCCATTCGGCAGCCACTGTCTGCCTTTGAATTTCTCCCTTGTTCATTGGGTAGAGCTGCATAATAAAGCAAACGTTTCCGGTTCTAAAATCCCATGTACTGTAAGTGTTGATATTAGACAGTTGTCATATAGCATCTCAGTGTGCTACTGTGCTGGATGAGGTAGTAGATCTCCTAGTTTTTTTAATTAGCTTATTATTAATAGCATTTAATTACTGTTAGATTTTTAAGCTGATACACCACTTCAAAAAGACTTCCACATTCAAAAGTGCCGGATGCTAATATGTCTATAATTGAGTTTGTGATACTATATATCACTATTTTAGCAAGCTTTTCATCCTTAGCTACTGAAGAGGTTAAGGTCTCTGTAGGTCTAAATAAGGCATTACTGAGAGAAATAAACAGCAAGTTTAATAACAACCTAATCTTTTACAACAGGTTGTATATTTTAATTAAAAATCTCTAAAAATGGAATTTAGATTACTTTCATTACAAGGAAAAAAATCTGAGCTGTACTAGTATTGTCATGTGTTCATGGACTGTATTAACAAAAGTGTAAATACAAAAATTTGTCCCCCAAATAGCTGTCACAGTAGTTGAGTTGAGAAAAACATATATTGAGAAATCTACTCATACAGCTATTAAATGTAGTAGAATATTATGCGTTTATTTTACGTTCTGGTCAGTCTTGCCTTACCTTTACCTGTCTTTTTATTTCTGGCATGTTTTTTTGTTGTTCTGTTTTCTTTTCCACTACATTCAAGAAATTCTGTTAGGCACTATAAAACATTACCACCCAAGATGCCTTTACTAGAAAATGGTACTCATTGGAACCTATACAGGTAAGAATTGTTTAGAATCTGCTTTAAGTAGTTAGTTCTTTTTTTAAAAATAAATAGTCTTGCCTTGTTAGATTAAAAAAAAAAGTTTCATACAGTTTTTATGACTGAGAGATAGAATCATAAAATAGCTGTCTAAATTAACCCCTATATTAAAAAAAAACAACTAAAAAAACCCAAAACTTTGTTTTCTCCACTGTTAAAATTACATGTTGCATGTTTTTCTTTGTTACATTCTTTTGTTTATGTATATGATTTTGTTTTCATGTCAAATTTATTTTCATTTTGTTTAAATAATTTTAATTTACAAAGCTCAACTCTTCCTGCATGTGCTAAGACCAAATCAGTGATTAGACAGGATATTTCACTCCTTCATGATTGCCTTAATTCACAAATACTAAAATTTGGAGATGATCTACTGGTTAGGTAAGACACTGTGGATTAATTCTCCCCTTCTGTTTGGTATCTCATATGGATTTGCAAAATAAATGACCTTCACTGTAAATTGATTTCACATAATATGTAGTGTATCGCATCCTTTTATGTTGGCCTAAGATTTACTGCTGTTAATAAGGATTTAAATTTATTGTTTGGTATTTCTCATTCCACTTTCTTACAAGTGGATGTTGTTCTGTCTCATTCAGTTTTAAACATTTCAATGACCTTAGCAAAAAATTCCCAGCAGTCTTTTGTTTGCTTTTATTTTCTAAACAAATCTTGGCACTGTCATCCAGTCAGCTCTTTTATGTTTTCCTTAATTAAATGATTGTGATTCTACATTTTCTGTAAAGAGAGCATTATTTTATGAGTTAATATCTAACATTGTATTCCTTTCTTTGTTTTCTTTTTCTTTCTCTTCTACCATTGGATGCAATGCACTGGCACTAGTGAACTACAGCCCTCCCTTGACAGGGCTAGGAGTGCTAGTACCAACTGCTTGAGACCAGATACTAGTTTGCATTCACCAGAACGAGAAAGGTATAAAATAAAAACTTATGAATTTCTTGTCATCTGTGCTGGTGATCTTTATCAGTTTTGTTTTTCTTCATATGAGTACTCTACATTCTTGTACATTCATGTCTGCTTTGGTATTTGTAGACATTTTTGCTCCTATGTTCATGTATGTCATGTAAATTGTGTGTTGGAGTTTATAACCACTTCTGGCTTCTTTCCTTGTTTTAGTTCAAGCTGATGTCATTGTTTACAAAAGTCCTCAGTATGCTGATAATAGCATTGCAGTGTTAAATATTTTCGCAAAGTACTACTTGGTTGTTAATCTTCATTATCATTTGCTAAAAAGCATTACATTTGTTTCTTGCCTGTTCTGTGGACTGCTAATAAGGCGGTGACATAATTTATAGATTATATGACAAACCTCTCATATTTCAATTCAGAACTGTAGTTTTCATCATGACGTATTTTCTACAAAACAGCCAAACTTCATTGCTTCCTTAATCTAATCTGCTTCATCTGCTTTTGCAATTACAAAGCAAATCACTGCATTAAGCTTTTTTGCACTCTGTGACATTATATTAAGGCTCACATAAGTCTTAAGAAGACATGTTTGCAATTTAAATGAAATATTGTTGTGTCACATACATTGTGCAGGCATTTTATGGATGCTTTCTGAATTTCTAATATTACAATAGCTGGGTTAAAAATCTGAGGTGAACCAAATACTATTGGTGTGTTTGACAGATGGGGTTGTTCCACAAGGGAATTTTTCATCACCACCTGTGTTTTTGGCTAAAAATTATACCATTTTAGACTAGATTTTAGCTTCACTAGAGGCAATAATAGGGTCCCATTGAGTGGGAATATGGTTGAATTATAATTTCATCTGTGCAATACATGTTTAACTAGTGTGGCAGTTAATAATGCAAAGTTGCTTTGTTAGTCAACCCACAGCGTGGTTATTAAAACAGTTGCATCACTTTCATTATCATGGGAGAGGACCTTTGAAGAAAGGCAGTAAGAACGTACTTTTCTCTGAGATAAGGTTTCTTTTTTTTTTTTTTTTTCTTTTCCTCTTGTGGAATTTCCCCTTCCCTTTTCCCCACTTCCCGCTGCTCCTTGACGGGACCTTGCTTCTCAAGTTGTGCCCTTGTTGCAGAGGAGTGACTAATGTTCTGCTGGAATATCTCAGATAGATCTACAATAGTTCATTCCTTTTTCAGGTCAAGCTCAAGATATCATAGATAAAATGTGTATGGTTATCCCCAAAAAGTATGACAGAAATAAGGCCACTCAGAATGAAATACAGGATACCATTCTAGATGTTTAAAAAAAACTATTGTAGCATCGTATTAATTATGAAGTGTGTAGATATATACAGCTGTATTCATCTATAAGCAGCTATTTAATGCAATAACGTATGGACATAAGCAGTATATGTTTTGTACTTTCATTTCAAGATGCCACCCATCAAGTTAAATATTCAATGAAATGGAAGCTGGCAACTGTAAACTACCTAGTTAGAATATTATACTCAAAACTAAACCTGTCACTGATGTTAACTAGTTCTATTATGTCTTTATAAATTATCTTCAGCAACCTCTGTCCAATAGGCACTGAACAGAACCTGCAGCATTTTTCATGAGCCTCCTCATAAAGAGAAGTGTTTAGTCTGTGTTAATGGCCTCTGCTAAACACGAGGTTTTGCCAAATCATCTGTGGGCCTGATCCAGAAAAATTGTCCATCACTATGAAACTTTTATGTCTTTGCTTTTAGAAGTCCTAAATAGTGACTAAATAGGTGCTTTTGATTTGGGGCCCTTCATGGGGGTGTAGAAAAGCTCTTTTTTATTAAATTATTGTTCAAAATTTTCATGATGGTTTTGTTGCAAATTAGAAGATCTGTGTGGCTCTGTCAGAGGATTAACAACAGGCTTTTTTTTTCTTCAGACATAGATGTTTATCTAATACAGCCCAATTTTTGGAGGAAGATATTCTAAGCCCAATTTTTGGAGGAATATATTCTATTTAATGTATAAGAAACACCAAATTAAATCTTTTGTTTTGGGGGAAGCTAACTTTAGAAGATTTCGTTCTCCACTGTTGAATGTATCTGCTTACGCTTTAACGTGAGGTTAGTGATCAGTTGGGTGTAATGATAGAGGAGTCTTTAGTTTGAAGAACACAGAATTAAGTTCAAGGTATGTAGAAAGCATTTTGTATATGTGTGGACAGGATGAGAATAAGTGACAAAATAAAGTAAGATAGGTTCATCTTAAATAGTAGGAAAGCTTTTTTGAAGGCTAGTATAATGAAACACTGTAATAGACGATACGGAAAACGTCATCTAGACTTCATTACTGGAGACTGCCTAAGAAGAGATTAAACAAATATCTGTCAGGTGTAGTTGGTCCTGCTTGTAGCGAAGAGAAACACTATACGGTTTTGTGAAGTCCAATCTGTACAGCACCATTTTATGACCGTTATATTTGAGGGACCTATGTTGAAGGTATTGTTAGTTGTTTTCAAGGTGTTTTCTTCCCCCCACCCCCAAATGGAATTGTATATTTTATTTACAAATTTAGGCTTTTAGTCCTCAAAGTATAAAGATAGACTTCTAAATCTGGCATTACGTATTTTCTTCAACAAAATTGTAAATATTACCTATGGAAAATTCTTTCTACTCATTCCCTCCAACCTTTTGTCTCAGAGGGTAAAAATTAGATTGCATTTGAGATCAAGAGTTAAAATGGTCCACTTGACCTTTTTTAACAAAATGGTATTGGCTGTGTGTAACTGATAGATAGTAGAGCCCTATTTCTCTGTGTTAACAATTTATCAAAAATGGTTTTGATCCCTAAACTCTGTATAATATCATTCTTGTCATTTGGAATGTTTGGAGTAATTACTGTTTTTTAAGATACTGCTTTGCCAGTAAAAGTCATTGTGTTGACCCACATATACCAGAAGAAAAATACTTTCAGCAGTATATACGATTTTGGGATATATGTCTTGTTAGTTGCACTAAACCAAAAACAAAACAACAAAAAAAGACATTCCTTTTCTCCTGCTATGAGCTACATCATTTGAGCAAGGAAAGTCCATATAACTTGACTGGCAAACTGACCTTGCCCTGACACAGGCCTGCCAAAGCTTTTTGGTAAATGGACTAGTTTGGTACAGAACATAATCCTTCATGTAAGGAGGGGCGTCAGCAGAACTGCTACCTTGGACTTCCGGAGGGCAGATTTTGGCCTGTTCAGGAGCCTGGTTGACAGAGTCCCTTGGGAGGCAGTCCTGAAGGGCAAAGGAGTCCAGGAAGGCTGGACGTTCTTCAAGAAGGAAATCTTAAAGGCGCAGGAGCAGGCCGTCCCCATGTACTGAGTAAGGAGGGGCGTCAGCAGAACTGCTACCTTGGACTTCCGGAGGGCAGATTTTGGCCTGTTCAGGAGCCTGGTTGACAGAGTCCCTTGGGAGGCAGTCCTGAAGGGCAAAGGAGTCCAGGAAGGCTGGACGTTCTTCAAGAAGGAAATCTTAAAGGCGCAGGAGCAGGCCGTCCTCATGTACTGAAAGACGAGTAGGCGGTGAAGAAGACCAGCATGGCTGAACAGAGAGCTTTGGCTGGAACTCAGGA